GCAAAATTATCTATTTTACTGTTGCTGAGCCTAAAAGAGCAAGAAAATAATGAGCTTCAAAGGTTTCTTTAGGACAAAGGGTTATTTCTTAGAAACACTTAGAGATCATTAAATGATAAATATAACTCAGCAACCTTGTTCATAACCTAACTCTACACTGATACACAGTTTTTCTAAGCATGTTCTTCGCAACAGGTTGTTTGTTTAAATTTATCTTTCCGAGGAAAACCGGAAATGCAAAATAGGCATTTGTCTTTACAAATGCTAATGAAATTAATGTCAGTCCCCCTATGCTTCTGTAATATCAGTCTCAAGAAAATGAAAAGTTGATGATGAGGCATTGATGGGTACACATTGTCACCTTTTTGCTGGCTAAGAAAGATTTTTTTACAGAATGTAACATGACAGTAGCTGGAAACTTGAACTTAAACAAGAGGCTGACCATCACTGTGTGTAACAGTTAATATTGTCAACATGACAGGATCAAAAAACACTGTAGGGACAAGTCTGTGTGCATGCCTGAGAAGCATTATTTTGAATAGGTTGATCAAGGTAGGAAGACACATTTCAACCATTGTAGCACTGTGCTATTTGCAGAGATCCTACAGTGAATAGAAGAAAGCTAACAGAATAAAAATTCTCATATCATTTATCTATCAATCTACCACCTAACATCTATCCATAAATCTATCACCTATCTATCATCTATCTATCTCTATCTATCCATCACTTGTCTATAAATCCATCACCTATCATCTCTCACTTATCTATAAATCTATCATGTATCTGTTTTCTTTCTATCTATCTATCATCTATCTATCTATCTTTCTATCTATCTACCATTTCTGCTCATGCTGGGAAAAAGCCAGCTCCCATGTTCTAAGGGTACTCAGGAAGCCATGAGACTAGGTTCACAAATAGAAAATGAGATGCCTCAATTATGCCCATGTGAGTGAACCTCCTGTTCACTTTCTTATTCACATCCCACTATGATTTCCAGACAGACTGAGTCCAGGACTTAGATTTCCTGTATTCCTAGCCCCCAGATACTATAACATTAATAAAAATGTTAGTTATTGTGGGTGGGGCAGGGCACACACACACACACACACACACACACACACATACACGTCTGCACACAGGAGGCCAGAAGAGGATATGTCCTGTTCTATTACTCTCTAAATTGTTTCCTTTGAATCATGGTCTCTCACTAAACCTGGAGCCAGTAAGTCCCAGTGATCTTTTCATCTCCTGCCCCACAGTGTTGGAGATACAATCGTCACACTATTTTGTAACATGGGTTTGGGTGATTTGAACTCAGCTCCTCATGTTTGTACAGCAAGTGCTATTATACTCCCCAGCCTCCCAAAATGTTCTTTGAGTTCTGAAATAACTTGTTGTGCATCCTTGGATCACTGATAGGAGAATCTTGTTAAATGGCTCTTTAGCATAAAATGAAGTAAAAGGAGAAAGAGAAAGGAGCTGAAATCATGATTCAGTTTAACACATTTATCAAACCAAGAATGTTCAAGTTATTTGAATTTATGCCCCTGGTGGACAGCAATTTATACAAAGATCCAGGGCATTTCCTAAAAGGGATTTCAAAAACTAATCATCTTTTCACATTGACATTCTCAAGCTGATGCAAGGGAATATTGAGGAGGTGACATTGAATATCTCTCCACAGCCTCCCACCAGGGGTACCCAGACTTCTTCCTTGCTAACAATTTTAAATAGGATGGATCATATGGCTTGCCTAAGAACAAAGCCCAGGGAAGGCTTTGTATGAGGTAGATGTGACAAATTCATTTTGGTGCTGGCAATGAGTGCTGTTTGTTCTTTTAATTAGCAAACACCATGCTAATATGCAAGTCAGAAAGACCAAACAAAACTAACCCCCTAGCACCAAGATTAAAGCTGCGCCTCTATGTCTCTATGCTCACACATGCAGAACCCCCTTCTTATTCGGCATATGCTATAAGGTAGGTGCCTGAGAAGTTACCCTAGGAAAGAGTATTTGATGTTCACTTATTCCAGCACTGAAGAGAGGAAATGTGCCCAGCAGCTCACAAACTGGGGAACACTTGATGGAAAATATGCTTGGGCAGCATTGCTTGTTGCATTCTTCAAGAGGAAAATTGAAAACAGAAGATCACCAGGGTCGGGCAGTTATTACTGGAACCTGGCTCTTACAGGACGCAATACGTACCATTTCCCCCAACTAAATTGCATTGCTTTGTCCCAGCCACCTGACAGGGCCTAGGATAAGGGGTTTTTCCGGCGTAGATAACCACCTAGGTTTCCCAAGTCACATCCATTTAAAAGTGGGCCCAAAAGAACACCAGTGGTGACAGAAAAAATGATATTTTTGGTAACCTCAGCATCGTGGAGAATAGTTCCAAAAGAAATAGTTGACAGAAAAGGAAAAACCGTATTATTAAACATATATAGTGCTATTCAGCAAAATCTTTTGCTGATGCAACTATCAAAACTAGGTCTTCTGGAGTGTTGTCTGAACTAGATCTCAAGCAAGCTCAAAATAGTCTTCAGAACAAGGTATTTCATTAATAATCTAAGTGCTAATACGAGAAAAAACTTTTAAACAACAGATTAATGGTAATTCCTTAGGAAGCTGAGACCAGGTATATAACACAGACCCAACTGAAGAGTCAACATGGTGGCTCATGTCTATAATCTCAGAACTCAGGAATCTGATGCAGGAGGATTACTAAAAGTTTAAGGCCATCCTGGGTTACAGAGTGAGACTCTGATTCAAGAAAGAAAGAGAAAATTGAGATAAGGGAGGGAGGTTCAAGGGAATCACAAGGTCCTATAAATTTTCAAGACTAACAAGTAGTTTAACATGGTCTTTTGGGTCAACTAATTATAAACTCTGAGTCTAGTCACTGGATCACATAAGCTTTGAGCGAAATACCATCTGGATGCCCCAAAACCATAGGTCACCCCAATGGGAGTATCAAAAAGCTAACAATAGAAACTGAGTCTAGAATTTACAAAAAGTTGTGGTGTTATCATTTTTGAAATCTTGAAAGAAGGAAAACTGTTTGATATAAATGCTTGACCCAAATAACATTCTTTAGCAGTCTCTAGGGTAGAAACAAAATATCAAAAGAGGGCATTTCATATGCATTCACAGTAATCATGAATTACAAGGGACAAGAAAGAATGCATATGGGGCCCAAACAAAAATTGTGTTGGGCAACTCACTTTATTTCATGAAGATATCCAGAATTCTTAGGAGCTTAAAGAATCTTATAGCTTCTAGGAGAAAGTTAGAAAAACTCATGCTGATTTGAAAGAAATGGTAATTTCACTTAATGAATTCGTTAAATGTTAGTGTAAAAGAATCTTTCTCCTCAAAACAGATTATCCCTGACCTCACCCATACTGCATGATGTCCCTTTATTCTCATCACCAGATAGACCCACTGTGTCTCTAGTTCTGGATACAAAGTCCAGTTCTATTGTCTATGACACCACCCTCATCAGGTTTGCACAGTACTTTGTAACTTAACTGAAGCACTTGGGGGCTCCAGTGAATATCATAAACCTGTGAGATACCTAAGCCTGTAGGTGACCAACTACAATGAAATTAATTAACTGGTACAAGGTACATGCATGCATTCACTTCTTCTCTATAAAATCCCTAGTAGCTAGTTGAACGACCTTGACCCCCTTCCAAACTAAACTACACATCGAGGCAACATACTGGTCGGATCTAATTTATATATATGCATATATATATAATTTATTTATCCTTTTCAATATCATTTTACATTCCAACCACAGTTCTCCCTCCTACCTGTCCTCCCACCCCCCTCTTCTCCACTCATTACATCCCTATTCACTCGTCCTCACAGGGAAGTGTTCCCATGAGAAATCAACAGTCTGGCACAATAGGTTGGGGCAGGGCCAATCCCTCTCCCATTCATTAAGGCTTAGCATGGTGCCCCACCATAGGGAAAGAACTCCAACAAGCTAGTTCATGTACCAGGATTATATTGTGGTCCTACTGCCACTGAGTATGGCATTCCACCATTGGGAATGGGCTCCAACAATCTCAGCTCTAATTCTTATAGAGCACTTCCCTATTTTAACTGGGATTTTCTCTCTATAATTGCTACCAACTGCACTCTGTTTTGAATCCTGAGACTCTAGAGCAGTGGTCCTCAACCTTCTTAATGTTGTGACTCTTTGATACAGTTCCTTGTACTGTGATGATTCCCAACCATAAAATTACTTCAGTGCTAATTCATAACTCTAAGTTTGCTACTGTTAAGAATAATGGTGTAAATATATGATATGCAGGCAATCTGATATACAACCCCAAAGGGGTCATGACCCACAGGTTGAGAGCCACTGCTCTAGAACAACATGCATTTTTGTCTGTATCATATAGCCTTTTGGCCACTGGAAAGCTGCAGTATGGTTTGCAAAGCACTAACATTGTAGTGACTTTACTCATACCAATTTCAGAGTCCCTTCTTCAAATCTATAGAGTTGTGATTTGTAAGACTGGAACTTGGGATTTGCCCATAATGAGAAGGGTCCAGAGGACTCTGAAATGACCATAGAAATCACTCACTTCATGACCAACATCCAGATGGGCCCATTAAATTTTGGCACATTTTTAATTCTTCAGTTCAGTTCACGTATTGTTTTAGAAACTTATGGGTAGTACAAACAGCTTCAAAATAAACAGCAAAACTTTGGGAAATATCTAGTCACTCCACTGCAACTAACTACAAATGACTTGTGTGCGCTGTGGTAGGCAGTGTGACAGCAAACTGTCCCAGTGAGTTCCTAGTGGGAACCAGGTACTAGTCTTGGTAGCCTTATTAGCCTGCTGTCTATTCACTCTTTAATATTTACAAAGCCCTTTGTTATGTCCTCATTTGGTTCTTCCCAGGGTCATGTGTTTGAAAACATGGTCCCCATCTGGTGGTAGAGACTGTGGAATATAAAGTAGGTGGTACCTACCTGGGAAAATTAATTGCCAGAAGACAAGTCATAGAAGCAACGGTTTTTCCCTGCTTTGAGACTAGTTTCTGTTTCTTGGTCATCCAGACATGAGGAAACTCCCACAGCCATGCATTCCTTACCACAATGGGCAGTGACCCCTCAAACCATGAGCCAAGATGAATCGTTTCTCCTTTTTAAGTTGTTTCTCAGTACCAAGGCCAGTACCCAGTGCCTGATCCTTTCTATTGAAAAGATGATGGAGGCTTCAAGAAGATAAATTACTTATTTCTTCAATATCCTATAGCTTTGAAGACAGGACTTGATCCCAAACCTTTGTCTTGTTCTGCATTGATCTTCCATCTTCCACCCATAGATACCTAGAGAAAGCTGAGACAGGAGGATCACTGAAAGCTTAAAGGCAGAACTGGTTACTGAGACCCTGTGTCAAAAAATAAAAAATAAAAGGAAGGAAAACTCTAGGTACCAATAAAAGCATTCCTAACTTATGTAACATTATCTATTAATAAAAGACCTTTGATGAAATATATTTGGGGAGGACACACAAAAAGGATTGTCTTACTTTATACATTTGTTTCTGGTCTATTCACTGGATTGCTGAGTGACATACTTAAGATGCAGCTGGCACTTTTATGGTGTGATTGGCAATTGCCTGCTGTTCCCTGCTCTGAACTCTTAAGTCACTCAGGTGAATAGGATGTGATAAAGTGACACTTAGGATGTAGTTTGAGGAATTCAGTGTGAGTTTCAAGGACAGAGACCACAATGCTGCACAAGATTGGAAATTTCTCCCCTAACACCAATCTGTCTACAATGCTATATTTAATGTCTTCATACTGCAACAGGAAAGAAAAGAATGATGCGAGAAACTCGAGGAAGCAAGAGGGAAAAGGAAAAACTGCCATGTTATAGAATGCCATCAATGGAGACAAGGCTTTTTAGTTGGCTCATTACTCCATACTCAGAACCAATATTTTCAACAGCTGGGCAAAGTAAAGGCACTATCTACATGGGCATTTCTAACCAACTCCCCCTGCCCCCCTGCCACACTTGATGGAAAACTCAATATAGGCTATGGTATTAGGCAAACACCTGGTATCTTTATTTAGAAAGTTGCCAATCAAGAAAACCAGTGGCTCAGTAGAAGAAAAGCCTCACAATTCAGTTGACTCAGATCCCAATTCCTCAAGCCTTCATTACACTGGTGGTAATAAGAGCCGCCTCCCCTCCCCAATATACTTCCCTTAACAAACCCACAAAAATAGAGCCATCCCATTCCAACCCAGGAACCCATGAATTCCATATAAAGGTGAGGAGAGACCCAAGACCCTGCCACATTTCCTGATAATGTTAATGGTATAAACTTTCTTTGGAATAGCAGGCTACCAAAATAATGACTTGTGGTGTGTGACACCCTGGACCAAAACAAACAAACAAAAACCAAATAATTTCTAGCCCTCCATTTATCTGAAGTCATAGCATGTTACATTAGAACAAATTGACTTTGCTAGACTCCCCTTCCGGCAGAGTCAAAGTGGAACTAAAGAGTAGCGTGTGAAGAATCTGTGCAGCTACTTCTTGGGACAAAAGCAGCGTCAATAGCTGCAAAAGCAGAATGGTTTTTTATGAGACTTGATGATGCACCATAATGTCTCCACAACTACATGGATTAGAGATTGCATTCACCATATATAGCAACAGAATACCCACTGATAATCACATATTTTGTTCTGGAAACAGTTAACAGCAGCACACAGATGAGATGAAATGCCTCTGTATATTCACATAACATAAAATCAATACTTAATTATAGCAGATCTGCATGGGGCTGGTGGTTAACTCTAGAGAGGAGACTGTATGAAGCCTTCAGTGAGTTAGTGAAAGGACTTCAGTATAACAGCAAGATGGAGCTGACCCCACTGATCATACCATACTGGCCTTTAATTGAGAACAACTATGAGATATAAATAATGATGCAGGAGCAGATGTTGCCCCAATGGTAGATGCTTGAAAGCTCTTCACATCATGTTCCTTTGTGGGCAAGCAAAGCCTCAGGAGACCTGGGTAAATGAAGGCAGCCTCTGAGTAATGAGCCTAGGGAGAAGCTATGTGACAAAGTGAAACAACAGAGAGCATAGAGCACAGTGACCTGGTGTGGAACTCAGTTCTACTGTCTATAGCAAAATAGCTTACAGCTCAAGCTCATTATCCATAAAACAAGGAGGACAGTCCATCCGTCTAAGTCAGAGGGCCACAGTGAGGCTCAGAGAGCAGGGAGTGTCTTGCAGACAAGGAAGCTACAGATCATTGAAAAACTGTTTTTTTTTTTTACTTATCAATTTTAATGTTTTGGTATATTATGTGGTGTGCATGCAAATCTGTAGACATATTCATACATGTGTGGATGAATAGTGGACCTGAAGTTGATGTTGTGTTTATTTCTAGACTGCTCTCCAGTGTTATTACTGAAGTTGGGTCTCTCAGCTGAACCCGGAACTTTATAATTTATTAGTCTGACTAGCCAGCTTACCCCAGGCATTCATGTCTCTACTTCCTAGGTACTAGGATTACAGGCAGCCACCACAACTCTTGCTCCAACTTTTACATCAGTTCTGGGAGTATGCTTCTGACTCCTCACTTGCATTTCAAGAACTTTTTCCATTGAGATATCTCCCCAGCTCTATTCACTCCTTTGTTGAAGCAGGGTCTCAGATATCCCAATATGATCTCAGATTGACCATATAACTGAGTATTACCTTGAATTTATGATCCTCCTTTCTCCACCTCCTGGATGACAGGATTGCAAGCATATGCCACATGGTCCTGCTTACAATTTATATGGTGCTAAAGATCCAATCCAGAGGTTCATGAGTGCTAGGTAAGTACTCTATTAATTGGGCTATATCTGCTGTGAAGAGGTTATTTTTTATTTTGGGAAGAGATAGGATGTCAGTATGCAATATCATGAATAATCGAAAAGAAATAATAGCTTCATTTATTAAGTTTTCAGTACAATGTTAGCCAAGGTCGCACTGTAACGCACACCAAAAGAATAGAAATAAGTGAACTTGGAGAAGATTCCAACTACAGTTAAGGATGTGGGTGCTAAAACTATAGAAATATTCAATAATTCACAAGTCCATACTTCAGCTATGCCACACTCCTGTGAGTGGACAAAAACACTCTATTCCAAAGACTCTCTTCCATTTCATTGTATTCTGTAGAGCCTCTCCTATGTGCTAAGTGTTTCTTTATCTTTATCATATATGAAAACTTATGGGTTTGTTTATTCAGCAAAATATCTTATCCATCCTTGACAAAAAAGAATGGCTCTCAGGGACTGAGCAGCAGGTACCTTTACAGAAACAACACTGAAATGTATGGTGAGGGAAAGAACTGGATAAAACAGGAGGTGAGGTTACAGACTTCTTTACAAAACAGCTGAAGAGTTGGTCCTTGAAAAATAGTGTGGTTGTTTGTGAATAGGAACACAACTCTGGCCAGTTCACCAACTGTGTGACTTTGGACATCTCTGACCTCAGGTATTGCTCAAAAAAACTGCAGATTAGTGCTGGGAATACAGACAGGTGGTAGAGTGCTTGTCTACCATGTGGAAGGTCTTGGGGTCAATCATCCATTCCAGCAAATGTCCATGAAAGATTGAGAGGCTGTTTCAGAATCCCTGGCCTGCTCTGTCCTTGCAGGTAAAAGCTCCCCTTCTCACATATATTTTCAATGCTTTCTTCTCTCCAGCACTTTGTAATATCTATGTTAGCAGGAAGATGCCTCATGACTACATAAGGTTTGTTCCCTGGACTTGGATCCCTCAGTCTCTCAGCAATAGCAAAGAAATCCACTTCACAACAGAGAAAACTGGCCTAACATGGAAATAAAAATCTCCACAATCACTTGAAAAGAGTCAGTCCCTGTGAAAGCAAGGCATGGCTGTCAAACTTGAGAGCTCAGCTTTACTAGAATTGGGTTTTACGATGCATACTAAAGTACTGAAGCATTGCTTGATTCCTCTGGATGCATTTGCTAAACAGGATAATTTTCTAATGGTTGGCAAAGCATTCCCAAGAGCCATAGATCATCTAACGAAAACACCCAGCACCAGGCGTGAGAAGCTCTCTTTCAAGACATTGGTCAGGAATGCTCAAGAGACTCTAAAACCAGTATGGGTTATTGCCATTGTCTTTGGTTGCCACCTGCCCCTAGATGGAAGGAAAGTCCTTATTGCTGAAGACATCATGTAAGTCAGGCACAGGGCCCAGAAACCCCTGAATTGTACTGATCTAAAAGTCTCCTCCCTGAGGACCAGCTTTCATCATACCATAAGTTGGTACCAAAGTAGGCAAACAACCAACAGTCCTACCTAGCTATGATGTCTGTGAACGCAACAATGATTAGCACAGCACAATAACCCTAAGGATGGAGTAGTGGTGAGCATAACTTGGCAATAACAAGCAGCTTTCTAATTGGACTTAAGACCTGCTTAACAAGAGGAAAACCATGCCCAGTACTGGAAATCTAGTCAACTACTCAGTCTAATAAAGTCATTGATATTGCAAGAGAACCTTCAATTACAACTTTACCAAACCAGTACTAGCTACGTTAGAAATATTTGTCCTTATACCCACAGATTAATGTAGTCCTCATCCATCATCAAGGAAACTTATCTTTGGAACAGACAGAAACCATTACAAAAAATCCTCAACAAATCAAAATGAAGAGTTATATATCCCAGTCACTACAGATACACCTACAACACAATTCTTACACACACACACACACACACACACACACACACACATATATATATATGTAGAGAGAGAGAGAGAGAGAGAGAGAACAAGAAATGTATTGTAGGACTGTATATGTGCGTGCATGCACATGTGTATGTGTCAACAATTAAAGAAAAAAGAGTCATGAATTTTAAACAGAGAAATAGGGGCTACTTAGCAGGGTATGAAGGGGGACATGGAAGGGGAAATGATGTGACTATATTATAATCTCAAAAGTTTTAAAAATTAAAAGAAAAAGAAAAATCCAAACAGATTCCTGAGGACTAGGGAGTATTTTGATCCAGCCACATAGAATAGTGTTTCTCAAATGGTAAGATTTTGCTTTCCAAGGTGAGGTCTAAATATAGAGGATATATAAACACACCACCTGTCTAACTCTCTAGAACACATATTCCTGAAATGACATTGATCTCAATATATAGCAGGGCATATGAAGTTGTCATGAATCCATAGCTATTCTGGAAGGTATATGACAAAGCTATAGGTTGGCACCTGAATATAGAGCATGTTCAGAGTCTCTATGCTTGTAACCCTCCCAGGGCTCTTGAACTCAACAAGGATTCT